TCTAACAATCTCCCTCTCAGTGGCTACATTATTAGGCTGTGGCTTTCCAGTTTCCTGCATGTTGACAGGCAGCTGATCTCCTGAAGTAGAAAGAATAATACAATATATACCCACGGGATCTTCAGCCCCATTAAATATTAGGCAGGCCCAGTGTGTCTACACATAGCTACTTCAACCGCAGTGAAAAGTCTGAAGTAGCAGATTGGCATGCAGTGACTTCCAGGAAAGTTCCAGAATGGATTATTTAGATGATGATTTGTGAGCACTTGGAAATTAGGAAGTGATCATTCTAGTCAGCCTACGTTCACTAAAAAAAAAAAAAAAGATAAGTGGCATTTTTTTTTTTTTTTTTAAGAGTTTCTATACCAGTGAAGTTGAGAAACTCCATAGATGAAACTTACTTGAATTCTGGTGATGCATTTGATTAAGTAGTGAAATTGTCATAGACAAGGTGAAAAAAAAGGTGAGTTGAATGAAAATGCAGTTATATGGATTTATATTTTCTGTACAAAATGATGGATGAACAGACTCATGTGATCCTGGAGGGAGGGCCCTTAATAGTATATCACAGGGCTCTCTCCTGCTCGGCATTTTACCAATGTCTAGAACAGAGTTTTAGAAAGTTCTGTTATCGAAATAGCATAGTATACAAACCTGGAAGGCTAACATATTAGATGGCAGAATCCAGATTTAAAAGTTTCAGTGGAATGAAAGAATCCAAAAAAACAAAATATAGTTTATATGAGATAAACATAAAGTTTTACATCTAGGATTTTATATAAAGACAAAATCTGGCTTAATGGAAGTTCATGTGACAGACAAGGTGTTCTGGTTGGCCACGGTTTTATTTAGGCCTTCAATGAATCATGGATTTTTAAAAACAACAACAAAAAGCTAATAGAGTCTTGGCAGTTAACATTTATTTTCTCCTTGGTTATCAAGGATTCTTATTTTCTTTATACGCTTCTGAATTTTTCAAATTTTCTACAATGAGCATGTGTTATTTTTATGAATAGAGAAAAATTACTCTTAGTATTTGAAAATATTTGAATGACTGGCTATGGAAGTTGGAGCAGGCTATTTTGTATAGTTTTAGAAGCTGGAACTAGGAAAAAATGGCTGGAAGTTACAGCAGACAATTCTAAGCTGAACATCAGCTCCCAATAGAGTGAGTGCCTATCCCTGGAAGTGTCCACCTAAACGCTGGCTAACTGCAGAGGTGGTGTAGCACAGCACAGCGGTTACAAGCTCTCACTCTGTCAAACGTCTCAGGTTCAGATCTTGACTGTGCCATCTATTACTCATATGACCTTAGAGAGCAATTCCACTCTGTCTCCATCTAGGAAAGGTACAAGATTGTAACTGTACTTACCCATGGGGTTGGGAAGGATTAAATGGGTTAATCCGTATAAACGACCTTAGGACAATAACTGACCTATGCTCAATCAACATTAGCTATTACTATCCGTTAGGAGTGGTATGGAAAGGATTTCTGCTTTGCTTGAGAAACTGAACTAAATGATTATTAAGGGTTCTCTCCAATTCCATGATCTTAGGGTTCTAGGTAGGAGATCACTTTCCTCAGGTGGTACTCTCTTATTACCTAAGCCTGAAGTCCTGAACAGCAGCCTCACCTGTAATTAAGTATGGTTTGGTGACATGAGGCCTAGCATAAGTGACCCTATGTAGAGCCTTTTTCTTGTTGTTGTTTTTAACACTGACAAGAGACATCCAGTTGAGAAGCAGAGATTAAGAATGAGAGCATAAAGAGAGAGCATGCAAAACAGTAAAGAGATAAGAGACTGAAAAGGATAAGTGGCTGGGAGACTTGCCCTGGAGCCAAGGAAATTGCCTAGTTCCAAGGTGTTCACAAATGGTAGGAATTCTGTTATTATGACAATGCTGGTGGAGAGTGAAGCAGTTGGGGTAAAAGATCCATGTTGTCCCCTGGTTTAGAAATCCAAGCAAAATATTTGTGAGAAGATGCTAAGGTACAGAAGAAAGTCTAGCTCAGGTATTTCAGACTGGATCCTGCCCAAAAGAGAAGTGGCAGCAACCCCTGTGGATGGGAGTTCTCAGGGATCATTTCTGAGCTGAAATCCAGACTAATCATTTACTAAGGAAATGATATCAGGTACGGTTCCTCATTCAAGTCACAAAATTATTTCCTGGAACCATAATGCTTTGCAAAGAAGGAAGCTGAGCTGCATCCCTGTCTATGGCTTATCTCAACCAGAAGGGAAGAATTTGGAGTTTTCATGGGTCCACCTTCCCAGTGTTTCATAAAGTGTAAAATACCTACATGGTGTGCAGCCATCACCTGAGACACCATCCTCAGGCCTTCTTAAGTCACAGCAAGGAAGGAAATCGACTTCGTCCTGAGCATCACAGTGGGGCAGGCTCTGTGCTGATTGCTTTTGCAAACATTATATCATTTAATTCTCGTCATACTCTATGACATCTGGATCTGAGCTTCTATGCAAGATGAGAGAAATCTGCTTCGGTGCTTTGCTGAGAGCTCCAGGATGGTCTCTTTACCTCCCTCACATCCTTCATGCATGGCCCCAGGCTGAGAGTTCAGGGCAGCACTTTTCCCTGAGCATTTCCATACTTCTCCCAAATGCTGGCAAAGCTTTGCATTTTTACCTTCTCAACTTTCCCTTTTTCCAAGTTGTTTTTCCAAGTTGTTTTCAGACAAATATTTGTGGTCATCACCCAATAAAACCAAAGTACACAAATGTGCTAAAAAAAAAAAAAAAAAAAAA